TTATAACCATAATATAATATAATATGTTCTTATAATTATACTTAAATGTTAGTCTAAGTGTATTTAAATGTAAGCACGTTTTTAAATAAAACCATTAAATTGAAAATTTTCGTGTTTTAAAGTAAAACATTTAGAAATATGATTATGGTGATTGTAATAAACTTATGAAAATGTGAAGTTTTAATAGATAAGTGTAATAATTGTAAGAATTATATTACTCTAATTGATTAGTTAAATGCAGTCAATATTACAGAATACTACACTATATTCAATATACAGTCACACTATTACTGTTCATTAACGATAATGTAATCCAAATTTTAATTACTAAAATTGCATTCATATCTTAATTATCTCTTATATCTGACTACTAATCTGATATATAATTGAATACAAGGAGGAGTGGGAGGGGATAGGGATGCAAGAGATGAGGAGTGGGTGTGTTGTGAGTGGTTGTGCGACAGATGGCAGTGCAGTGAGTGTTGACTCATTGAAAGTACGCACAAATGGGAGCCAATTGTGAGTCTATTCGTGATGTTTGTAATAAACGGTTAAAACTGTAAAATACTTGACAATTGTCTGCAACCGTAGATCCGTTTGTTTGGTCTCTCCATCGCATGTCTTGACGTGTGCTGTCATTGCCATCACTACCATCGCTATATGAATGCCATTCGTGTGACATTTGGCTCGTAATAGGACTCACGAGTGGATTGAGTGGTGAAATGGTGTGATGTATGGACTAAAAGTGTGTCAAATGTGTGTCTAATCCGCGAATACATCGATGTCTGCAATGGAGGAGCACTCAAGACGTGGTGTGAAGGACCTGAAGGATGTGATACCGGGTTTAGTCCATTTGGCAGAACTGAGCAGAGGTTGGTTCACGTGATGAGGGCTCGTATCATATGCTATGATGTGTTGTGTCTATGTTTAGGTCGACTCTATTTGGCGACCGTTAAGCCCGGACTCGTGAACCCTTTGAAGACTAAATCGGATTCAATGATCACTTACTTCAG